AATTTAGTGCTTAGTTTTCAACAAATTTAAATTGTCTCCCGGTAATGCTAATAAATAATAATATTATGTAGATACTTCTTCAACTTAATGCTTGTAAAAAAATTTGGCTGTAACTGTTTTATTTATGATATTTAAATATTTTTATTGTTGAGTATAGTACTTCTATAAAAAATATTATCAACTATTGTTAAGTACATACAATATATCTTAAGATAATTAAAATTGCTTATTATTACAAAAAAAAAGACGATGTTGAATAAAATTATTTATTCTCATGAAGATTGAGTAGTATACAATAATCACCTCCATAAATATACTTAGTACCTAAATATACTTAGTACCTAAATATACTTGGTTTGAAATTCAAGTGTATGGCTTTTATTGGATCACTAATAAAAGCAAGAAAAAATTTTAAAAAACTATACCAATGTTTTATCATTGGTAACCAGGGGCGGACTGGTATTAAAAATATCACGGGGATTTAGAATTAGAGTGGCTATATCTATATACTTAATGATTGCACTTAAAAAAGCTAATTAAAATATTAAATATAACTCATTTTTTACATTCTGTAGATTTTTAAAAACCATCGAACACATAACTTATTAGCTCATTTATTATAAAAGCGTCATAAATTAAAACAAAAGTTTTTTTTTAATGTTCACTAGTTATATCTTATTAATAATTTCATCATTATTAAGTTTAGCTAATATATGTTTTTCACACGACATGAGTATAAAATGCTTCTAAATTAGGTTTGCTTAAAGAATTTCTCAATCAATTTAATATATACTTTAGAATAGAAAAACTTCTTTCACAGGTTACTTGTGAAGAAGATAAACTTAAAATAAGTTTATAAGCTAAGTACAACTTATCATATGCTTTTGAATGAAGGTCATAAGTATGTAAAATATTATATACACATATCATACAGTTCTTACAGTTGCAAATACTTTTTAAAGAACCTTGTTCTTCTTTTGAGACATCTTCTTCATTGAATTTTTACATTTTTAAAACTTAACAAGTTTCTTAAAATACTATCTTTTCGTTTATACAATTTCGTACAGTTGTAAGTCGTCAAATTTTGTTTGAATCGGATGAGATGAAAAAAAATTTTAAGTTCATTTTGATTTGGTTTTTTAAACCAATAATTATACTCACAGTGGCCATGTTGATTTTCGGTGCTTTTACTGAAAGTTTATGTCATGGATTTATTTACAAATTTTTTAGAGAGAATGATTTGAATTTCAGAATTAGATGTGGTAATAGATACGATTTTAGAGTACTCTTGGTTACGTTAATATTACAACTTGATTCAACACTTTTGTTAATATCCTTATTTTTAGATTGAATTAGAAACAGTACATTTAGATGCATCAATGTTGAGCAATTTCTTTTTTTTTCTTAGTTTCTCAGCATTTCCATTATGTTTTCTTTTTATATTGTCCAATATAATTAGACACTTGGAAAAAACACAGCGGGGACTTTTAAAGCTTAAAAACAATAAATTAAACATGCGATCACTGTTACGAACTTACGTGAGCTACGTTACTATTAACTAAATATCATAGGTACAATATAATACATCATATACASAGACGCAATAATTAAACTATCTGCATTTATGTTATTCTAAATTAAACGAGAATAATATACAGTATTCCGCGGATAATGATCACGTATTGCGTCTTTATATTTCATAAAACTACACAAAAATAAGATACGCCCGACAACTA